TTAATAAGGGCACTGGTCATGTTGGATTAGAATCCACCCTCATGATCTCATTTCAGCTTGATTCCTTTATAAAGATGCTATTTCCAGATACAGTAACATTCTGGGGGTATGAAGGCTTCGGACTTCAACAGACGCTTGTTTTTGTTTGGTTGTCTGTCTTTTGAGACAAGGTCTCACTCTGTCACCCAGGCTAGAGTGCAGTGGCATAAACATGGCCCACTGCAGCCTCAGCCTCCTGTAAAGCTGTGACCACAGACGCGTGCCACCATGCCTAGCTAATATTTGCATTTTTTTGTGGAGACAGTGTCTCACTGTGTTGCCCAGACTGGTCTCAAACTCCTGGCCTCAAGTGATTTTCCTGCCTGGACCTCTCAAAAGTGCTGGAATTACAGATATGAGCCACCATACCCAGCCAGGACTTCAAAATCTTTTTGGAGGACACAATTCAGCCATAACACCACTCCTGAACAATTATATCAGAGTTTCTAGGGTTAAGCCCAGACATCAGTATTTTGTAAGTGCCCCAGAGATTCTAATATGCAGCTAGGGTTAAGAATCACTGGCCTGGGAAAGGTCTGCAGCAGCCACTGTCATCAAGGAAAGCCAGTGGCACTGATGGTAGCTTCAGTGAATGTTGAGTAGGGCCTTATCCACTATGTCAGAATTTTGGCTAAAGCCCCAAAGCTAAGGCAATAGATGATAAATAGTGTACATTCTAGAGCAGAGGTTTTCAATCTCAGATGCACATTGAGATAAGGCAGGAACTTTAAAAGGGCACTGAAGCCTGGGTGCATCCCCAGAGATTTCCATGTAATCAGTCTGCAGTGAGACTTGAACGTGGAGAATTTTTACAGTTCCCCAGGAACTATGCAGTCAGGATGAGAACCACTGTTTGTAAAGAAAAATTTGCCACTGGCCTTTTAGACTGGGAGAAGAATTCAGGGCTCCCATCCCTAAGGCTTTGCTCTTCCTAACCACCAGCTTATCTTTTTAATATGTTATCTTACAATATCCAACTCACTCAGCATTCTTTTTATTTCTCATATACAAGTGGACAAGCCTTTCTCATCTTTAAAAACAGGATGTTCCCCTAACCCTAGGTTTACTCAACACTTGACGAAGATGGGTTTACTCAAGTGTTCACATCCCAGGTGCCTCATAAGACTCTGACACATGGCTTCTGCCCTGACCATTTCCTTGAAACTGAATTTGCCAAGGTCACCAACAACCTCCTCTTGCCAAATAACAAAAGACACAGTCAGTCCTCATCTTACTGGAGCTCTGCTATGATCAAGACATTTGACCACTCCCTCCCTTATGTGTGTTGTTCTTCCATTAACTTCTATTGATTCTTTCATTTTCCTTTGGGGGCTCATCTTGGTCACCTGCCTGTTAGTTACATTTTGGTATCCATCTTAGGCTTACTTTTGTCTCATTGTGGACTAGGTTGAAGCATGCAAAATTATGCCTTGTATAAGCCCAAAGTGGTTAAATTTTGGTCATATCATATGGGTTAACCTAATTAATTGTTAACCACACCACCCATGGCTGTAGCTACTGACTGTATGCGGGGCTGATACTCAGATGGGTTGTTAAAATATTGCATGTTTCCTACCCCTAGGTAAGTAGCTGTTGCCCATTGTCCTTTTTCCATCAGAGCCACCCCTGCCAACCCCCCACCACTGTCCTAACTGCCTGCCTCCTTTCCTGGAACTCCTGACATCTCTCAATGATCCAGTATCTAAAGAGAAGATGCTCCTTAGCAAGGGGCTTTGGAGCTCTGCTTCAGATCTATAGCCAGCATCCGTTTTGATTGGTCAGTGTCTATGTTGTACTGATTGCTAAATGTTTTTATATTCCCCCTGTCTTTATATTCATTATTTCCCAATGTATCTATCCAGCTTAAACATCTTTTCTTAGCCTCAGACCCATATTGTCACTTGGCTCTTCCTACTTTGTTCTTATACAGACATATAAGAGTCAATATGCTTAAGATGAAACCCATCAAACTTCTTCTCAGCAACAACTTTGACTTTGCAGCCCCAGTGATTTTCATCTCCAGGCATCCATAGCCTGTGTAGTCCCCTCTCACACTGACTCTGTACATGGCCTTGGGACTTGCTTTGGCCAATGGATGTTATAGAATGTGACAGAAATAGAGGCTTAATAAGAGCTTGTCCTCTTGGAATGCTTGCTCCTGGAGACCACTCCCAAACTATAAATAAGCACAGACTAGACTTCCGTGTGATGGGACCACAATGAGAGGGCGAGGCCCTAAGCAGGAGCCTGGTGGCCCCAGAGGACACAGCACACCTTTACTCCACCCTGTCCAAATGCCTGGGCTACAGAATGATGATAAGTAAAGTAGTTGTTTTAAGCTTCAGTATTAAGTTTCTGCAAAGAAACAGAACCAATAGGAGGTATATAAACACAGAGAGAGACTTATAAGGAATTGGCTCATGTAACTATGGACACTGATAAGGCTCAAGGTCTCCAGGGTGACTGGCAAGCTGGAAACCCAGGAAAGGCAGTGGTGTAGTTCTGACCTGAGTCCCAAGGCCTGAGCATCATCAGAACAGATTAGGTAGAACTGATGGTATAAGCTCTAGTCTGACGGCTAGAAGGCCTAAGACCCAGGAATAGCCACTGTTTCAGTCTGAATTTGAAGGTAGAAAAAGGTTGATTCAGTTCAAAGACTCTCAGTTAGTAGAAATTCTCTTTTACTTGGGGGAGGGTTAGACTTTTGTTCTATTCAAGCCTTCAGCTGTTTGGATGAGGCCCAACCACATTAGGGAGAGTAAGCTGCTTTATGCAATCTGCTGGTTTAAATGTGAATCTCATCTAAAAACACCCTCACAGAAACACCTAGAATAATGTTTGATCGAATATCTGGGCACTGCATTGCCCAGCCAAGTTGACACATAAAACTAGCCATCTTAGCTTCTAAGCTCTTTAGGGTGGTTTGTTACGCATCAGTAGATGACAGAAAAACTGACTCCTTATATAATATGATACAATATAATACTGACATATAGAATACAGAGTCGTGCCTACTCCTTATACAATATGACCCACTTTAAGAAATGACATTTACCTAGTACCCAGTCCAAAATCTAAGACTCTCCTAGACTCAGTTTCCCTTCATTTGTACTTGATCACCAATATTGTTTAGTTTTTACCTCCTGATTATTTTCAAACGACTCTTTGCAACTGCCACTGCCCTTTGTAGGACTACCACTGCCCTTGATAGGACAGAGATGGCAAATACTTGCTGGCGTACTATCACTCCTCCCTTCGATAACCATGGTAAACATAGCCGATCCATCAGGGCCCTACATTCAGCTCACCAGAAAAGTAGCCACATCATTCTCCCGAATACCCCGCTCTAGGCATTTACTACACATCAATCATACAGTGTACATCTTATTTGCTATCCCTGTCCCAGACCCTCCTGATTTATCACTTGTATTAAAGCAAAAGCCACTTTGCTGGTTGCACCAACCTCCCCTATTATGACTGGAATTGATTTATCTTCCACCTTTTTCGAAGGATTACCAAATTAATCTTTCTAACATGCATTTAGAGTTGTCCAGATTGCCAAACCGTGCTCACACCGGGACTCAGAGATGTTTAGGTGCATGCTAGTTAGATTGATTATAAAGATGGCTCTGATCTTCTAGCCTTATCTATACCTCTGTGTCCTCTGCGAAGTGGCTTTGTGGTTTCTCTCAGTAAGAGATAGTCTAATCCCCGCTCTTTTCAATCTGGGATGGCCTGGTGACTTTCTCTGAACTGCAGAAGTGACAGTGGAGATTCTGAGCCTAGGCCTGCAGAGGTTTTGTGCACTTGTCTCTCTCGGATCCCTGTCACAGGCGTGAGAGCAAACCCAGCCCAGCCTGCTCGAGGATGAGACATGGAGTGGAGCCAGTCCTCTTAAGCTACATTCCATAGAGATGCCACAAAGCCACCTAAGTACCCACAGTTGACCACAGATAACCACAGCCCCTGAGCAGCCAGATGGACTCATGCGGTAATGAGGTTGTCAAACCACATTTCATGACCATAGGTAACTGATAGAAAGGTTATATTGAGGACCTGCAAATTAGGTTCACCACAGCTCTCTTTGGACAAAAAACTAAAAAATTACTGCAAAAGAAGTCATGCCACTGAGTCAAAGAGACAAATGCAAGAGCCAACAAAATCAATAGGTGACTATTATAGAAAAACCTTTGCAAGGCTAGAAGAACGCAAGGGGGCACCTGCTGATCCTAGAACAATGCAGCCAGCGCTTTCAACACTGGCGGGAGACAAAGCCTGCGTCAGCACCTGAGTATCCCAAGAATCTTCAAAAGGCTTTGGCCAGCATCAGCGGCCTGAGCAGCTGACATCCCTGCAGGGAACTGAAGCAGGGAAAATAGTAGTCACCACGTGCTAATGAAGAAGACTGTGATGGTGAGAACATTTGAGTTGCTGCCAGGGGACTGCCAGAAATAAAAGAAGGCACCTTGAAAGCTCCTACCAGAGAAAGAATACCTTGTGATAATAGATATATAATTTTTACTCTAACTCACCCCCCACAACCTGCTGTGGACCTAGGAAAATGATTTGTAAAAGTCTGTTTGTAATTGATCAAACATTATTTTCTTTGCCCTAAAAAAAATGCATTGTTTCTACTCATTTCTACCTTTTTTTATTCTTCCCATACCTTTTGGATCATATGGCTTCTTATTCCCTGCTGTATTGCTGGAGAGGTGAATCCCTCTTTTTCTGAAATAGCATCTCACAGTCCCCATAGTTTTCCTCCCCACAAGACACATAATTTTATGCAAAAAATAGCAGCTACAATTGTGTTATTCAAGCTACCACGTAAACAAGGGGAAGGTGGTTCCTTCTCTCCAGCAGCAGCAGAAAAATTGGACTTGTAGTAGAATGGGAAAAAAAATGGCCACAAATTCTTTGTCCTGCCTATAAAAATAAAGTCTTCTCCATCTTTGAATCAGGGTTTGGACATACGACTTGCTTTGGCCAACACAAGCTCAGCAGCAAATGAAAGAAGAGGCTTGAAATGTGCTTGCACATTTTTCTGTGTACTGCAAGTCTGAGACAATTTGAAGGAGCTCAACATTGCCCACTGAAGAAGCTAAATGGAGGAAAACCAAAGCCCCCAGCCTTTGTTCCGCAAACCAGCAGACATGTAAGCTAGGTCATGTGAGCCCGGTCATGTGAGCCCCTCCAGCTCTGGCTAAGCTGCCGGGGGGTGGAGGGCAGCAGCTCCCTGAGTGAGCTTGGGCAAGACTAACTGAAGAACAGCCTGGTCTAGTCCAGCCCATAAAATGAGGAGCAAGTAAGTGACTGTTGGTTTACAGCTATTATGTTTTGGGATAGTTTGTGAAGAAAAGCTAACGGGTGTGTCAGTAAAAATAAGGTACCCAAAGTCAGAAGCATATGGTGCAGTGGGAAGTCATAACACCTTCTCATACAAAACGAGCTTTCCAAACCACAGCAAACTGCAGAGGGGAAAGGAGGCAGCGTTCATTTCTTTCTCCATTATCAGCATCATCAGAATCTTATTTTAAAATCCCATGGGGGAAACAAGATGCAATCAACAACGAAAATACAAAATAAAATAAAAACAAAATCTTCTCTCAAATCTTAGAAAATGAAATAGGTATATTTTTTGAGAAGAGCAGTTAAGGTTTTGTAAACTATGTAACTAAGTTTTCATAAGCTGTTAGTTTTTGAGAAACTCCTATTTCAATTGATTTTTCACCTCTAACAAGTGCATAGGATTTTCCAGAATACAATATGTATACTGGTCATTTCTTTTGGTCACATTTTCCACATATTATACAAATATTTACCCACATTTCACGGCTTTTTCACCTGTAACCTATTACATTTTCCTTTAAAGCATTCAAAATGCCTTTTGAATGAAGACTTGATATATATGAAATTTACTTATTAATTTGTTCTATTTTGATTTTAAGGCAAACTTTAAATTCAGCTGATCACAATGTCCAACCTTTTTTTGTTTTCCATTTATACCTTATTCCACATGGCAATGGATAGAGTCATGGAAAGAGAGGAGGAAGTGGAAATAGAGGTGATAAAACATTTTGCAATTTTCCAAGTGCTAGAGATAATCTAAGATATGTACATTTTCTATTGAAATAGTTTCCCCCATAACAATACACACTCTTATTAAAACCGTATTTTTGCTGACAGAGCCCAGAGTTGCTTCACTCAGCATTCTGCATATAGAAAAAAAAAAAACCCTCACTGCTGTAATATGAATGACTTTTATTTTCTTGATCTCTTATTTTTTATTTTCTTTAGAGCTCTGCCTTCTTCCTTGACACTTCCAAATGATTCTGGGACTGACTGCATTTGAACCAAGTTATTTGAATTTTGATCTCTACCTTCCATCAGGCACATTGTTTTGAATACATTAGTTTGAATAGTAGAGTCAATTGACTATTGTTTTCTTTTTGTAATGTGAGTAAGGAAATTAATAGGATTTAGAGATTAGCTTGAATATCTTCTTTTATGTGACCTAGATAATATAGAGTCTTATTATTACTGCATTTCTAATAATAAAGCATATAGCATTTTCCAATGAGTTAAAACAATAGCTATATAAATATAAAACATATTACTCATATCTGTTGTGTACTTAGTTGTCTATTATTAACATTAATCATCTCTGCTTTCTTCCAGGGAACTTAACGTCCCATATATTTCACAATCAAAACTGTTGAGAATTATAACACTACTCCATGTGATCTCTATAAAAGGAGATATAAATGCCAATCAAAAGGGCCATTGGTTGCTTCATTTATATTCAAAGTGCTTTTGCCCATAAATTACATTAATGGTTTATATTCTTTTTACATAGTCTTGGATGAACTTTAAAGCATGCCAAGTCCTTTCAGTCTTACAACCTCTGCTTGAAGAGGAAGCAACCCAGGCAGGGCCCTAGGATCCCCTTTGCCCCATGCACTCCCAAGACATGGAGAAGTGATCACACTCTGTCTGTCTCCAGACCATCCCAGATGCAGCGCCCTCATGCAGGAGCATGATGGTGACTCTGCATGCTGAATGGACTCAGGGTCACTCCTGTAACCATGCATACCAAGTTAAAGCTATTTGGCAAGGCCATGGTTCTCATTTCACTTTACTTTTGCTGGGGAAAATCTTTGTCATATGCTAAATACACTGAAATGTCATCATGAGCCAATCTCAGAACAGACTCTTTTTTAACTTCTGGGACTATATACCTGACGATGGCATCCAGGGCATTCCAGCCTGATACCGACTTGTGTTCTTTAGTAAATCATATTTAAATGAAATTCAAGAACACCTCCAATTTAGAGCATCTTTGATTAATCCATTTTGAAATGTCACTACCGTACCCCAAACACCTTCAGAGAATGTGCTAACAAGCGCAAGGTGGTGACTCTCTGTTTGAAGAACGATGCTAAAATAAGAAAGGTCGTTCCTCAAGGAGAGCAAATTACCCAATCCGCTGCACAATAATATTTGAAGTAATTGTCCTCCTGGTTTCTTCCCATTTTCTAAAGTATCTATTATTTGAATTGTGAACATTGAACCAGACTGGAGGAAAGCCACCTTTGCATTGACTTACAGGTCAACCCCTTCAGACAGAAGACAATGGCACGCACATCAAGCGAACACCTATGGGTTTACTGCCAGAGTCATGTCTTGTCTCCAGGGCATCCCCTGTGATTTTCTTCTGTCTGTTCTTCTAACTTGCTGGCTTTAATTGGAAGCAGAATAAGCACTTCTAGAGCAGAATTTAATAGTGTCCATATTGGCCGGCACTGTAACTTTGTAGATAGGGCAGGGGGATGCGTTATGAATAAGTGGCTGTGAATGGATTGCTACTGACCTATTACTGATTTTTCTTATTGAGAAATGGTTGCTGTTGTTTCAAACCACTGTAATTAGTGAATCACTAATTAAATAATCTCACAGGGTCTATGTACCAGGCAGTGTACTAGGCACCCAACAACCAAAAAAAACGTAGAAAATGGTCACTACTGTTTCCATCTTATGAGGGCAGAAGTTCATTAACTCACTCGAGCAAGTACTGATTGAGCACCCACTATGTGCCAGGCACTCTCCTAGCTCTGGAAAAAGAGCAATTAATAGGCCAGATGCTGTCGCTCAAGCCTGTAATTCCAGCACTTTGGGAGACCGAGGCTGGCAGATCACCTGAGGTCAGGAGTTCGAGGCCAGCTTGGCCAACATGGTAAAACCCCATCTCTACTAAAACTACAAAATTAGCCAGACATGGTGCCATGGCGCCTGTAATCCCTGCTACTTGGGAGGCTGAGGCAAGAGAATTGCTTGACCCTGGGAGGCAGAGATTGCAGTGAGCCAAGATCGCACCATTGCACTCCATCCTGGGCAAAAGGACAGAAACTCGGTCAAAAAAAAAAAAGCAATGAATAAAACAGACAAAATTTCTTACCTTCATGGAAGTTTACAATTTAAGTTTTAGGACACAGTAAAAACTAGAATAAATGAGTAAAATGTACAGTATGTAGATAGTGCTGAAAGGGGTTAGGAAGCAGGGTGGGTTTTAGATTGTGTCCAGGGAAGACCTTGCAAAGAAGAAAATATTTGGGTAAAGATGTAAAGGAAATGAGGAGTGAGTCACATGCATACCTAGACAAAGAGGAAGCACTGGCAGGAAACATGCCTGAGGTAAGAGCTGCACCCACAGCTTTTACATTCCTAAAACATCCACCACCACATTTTCCATCCCCTGTGACCTTTACAGCCTTGCCATCCCCCACCTCCATCAAGAGGTGAAGTCCATGTCTCTTCTCCTGGAACCTGGACAGGCCTTTAGGATTGCCTGGACTGGTAGAGAATGGCAAGTATGACAGAAGGGATGCCATGTGACTTCCAGGCTAGGCTGTCAAAGGCAGTACAAGCTTTTGTGCAAATCTCTCCTGGAAGGCTCACCTTTGGAACCCAGCCTGACACCATGTACAGCAGCAATGAGGGACCTCTGATCAAATTGCAGAGTTGTGAGCAAAATAAATGATTGCTATTGTTTTAAACCATCATGTCTTGGGGTGGTCATAGCACTAGGGAATTAACACAAGCAAAGAAGGACCCATGGCTAGGTGGAACTAGGTTAAGAGACAGTGGGAGGAGAGGAGCAGGCCAGATCCTAGAGGGCTTTACAAACCATCAGAAATACTTTGGCTTTCGCTCTAATGGGAAAGTCACTAGACCAACAGTTCAATGCTGCTCACTCTCCACGTCCTGGACATCATTAAGAGGATAGCCCCCAGCAGCATCATGTCCTCAAATGCCCTTGGGCAGAAGTTTTTTCCAACAGAGGGAGCCTTCCTTCTACCTCCCATGAGCAGCATTTTGTACTCACGGTGACAAACTCACACACTGATCTAACCAGCCCTTTGCCTGTCACAAATTGTAGTATTTTCCTCTACAATAAGCACTAAGGGTCCCAAGAGCATGCTGGCCACCTGGTTATGGAGACTTCTCAGCATCCTGCCTATTTAGGCTTCAGCCACTGTAGACCTGTAAATGCCCAAATAGGGTAAGAGAAATGGGACTTTCTGTGTAGGCTTTGGACTTCATTTTCCCTCTGGCTTACGAAGCCTCGAGTTTGCTGACTTTTAAGGACTACAGCATGGCCCATCTGTCACAGAGACATTTGCTTCACTGTGTGGGAGGACAGGCAAATGCAGTTCCAGAAACAAAGTGTTTTTCAATGTTGAGAGGCTCAGAAAGATGAACATTAAAAGAATCCATCATTGCCAAGGTTTTAAACAGGTTAACACATCCATGTGAGGTGCAGTAGCAGCCCTTACTTGGAGCTAAGTTTATAAAAGTGCTCATTTTGGGAGTTTGTAAAACTGGATAGCCTCCAGATAAGAGGGCGAGGAGAACCCCAGTCATGACGGTGTTGAAGGTGAGTCTAGAGGTGAACAGGCTGCTGTGCTCTTCCCCGCTCCTCAGAGTCACAGAAGGTCAGGGGGACAACTCCAGGGGTTTGGGATGGAGGTCCAGGATTATCCAGAACAAGTATTCTACCACTCAGTTTTTCACTTTGAGGGAACAACTAACAGTGATAAATCTCCAAACGTTACATAGTGTCCCTGGGCTGATTTAAAGGGGAACATTTGGGTAGGTGGATCAGCAACAGGATTTGACGAAATATCCTTTAGACTAAGCCAGTTAGGAAGTAATAAACACTTCTGTTCTTGTTGTTTTGTTTTGTTTTAACAAACTCCAGATCATAGATAGTGTGGCAATGTACTGAATACCATTTCTGGTAAATGTCACGTAGAGCTGCGTTGATACCTCAACATTCTCAAGTGCATTGACATGAATGAGGGTTGTTCAGGCTCTGAAAAGAATACTGAACAAATAGAATAATGGCTTGCTTTCAAGTTTGAGGTTTGTTTCCCTAAAATTGAAGTCATGGGGTTTCATCAGAGAGATGCTAAGCCTTTCTTAAGAGCATGCAGTCGGGCCAGGCGCGGTGGCTCATGCCTGTAATCCCAGCACTTTGGGAGGCCGAGGTGGGTGGATCACGGACCAAGACCATCTTGGTCAACATGGTGAAACCCCGTCTCTACTAAAAATACAAAAAATTAGCTGGGCGTGGTGGCACATGCCTGTAATCCCAGCTACTCAGGAGGCTGAGGCAGGAGAATTGCCTGAACCCAAGAGATGGAGGTTGCAGTGAGCCAAGATCACACCATTGCATTCCAGCCTGGGTAACAAGAGTGAAACTCCATCTCGGGGGGGGGGGGGAGAGAGAGAGAGAGAGAGAAGAGCATGCAGACAGAGAAAGTAAAAACTAGAGGGTTTCCTTGAGATGTTTTCATTTTATACATTTTATAGATGTCGACACTAAGCCTCAGAATGGTTACATGACTTACCCAAGACCCTCAGCTGTCTGGAGGACCGATAATCACATAGGTTATGTCCTTGGATTGGAGGCTTTTAACACGGTTTACTGCAGTTGCTGATAGCATGAGTCAGTTATTCAAACATCACCGACGTCAGCACCTGGCATGGAGAAGTCACTCAGTAATGATGATAGTGGTCTTCCCAAACAAGCCTTTGGTTTTTGATGGTAGGGCTACGTCTTGCTTTCCCTTAACTTCCCAAAGTCTAGCAAATTTCCTTCTGCATAACAGGGCTGATTTTAAATAGATAAATGTCCAAATGCTAGATTCCAAATGCACTCAAAATATTGAATTGTTTCTTTTTTCTTATTGCTGAAATGCAAATATAATACATAGTTGTAGAAGTTATGGAGCATCTTCTGTGATATGCTGTGGATACAGTAGTGAGTATGCAGATGAATCCCCTGGCCTCATGGAGCTGACCCCTTAGTGACTGTGTCCAGCAATAGCTGAACACTCAAAATAGCAAAACTGGCTCAAGCCGCCACACTCACAGGTCAAGCAGACGAGGCAACCTTTACATACCTAAAAATGCCAGGCAGCTGTTTCCAACAGAACGGTGCCAGCAGGGTCAGATAAGTCATGCAGTCGTTTAGCACACAGAAGGGTTGATGTGGCCAAAATAGCCTCAGGAGACCCAAA